GAACATTCCATAGGCTTACTGTTTCCAGGTCATTTTCCACAGGAAAACTTTCAGGGCAAGAACCCTGTTCTGGTTTCTGTTGAACAAAACAGAACAAAACAAAAACTTATGATTGTAAGAACGGTGGAATTGCTTTCTGAAATTGCTTGCCTCTGGTGAAGTTTGCTGCTTTCAGTCAGGTTGGATGTGGGGAGGTGGTTTTCAGTGTTCTCAGGTGTGTGTATTTTAATAAGTTTTGGATGTATCTACTTGGCCCACATGTTGGCATCAAATGTTAAAATCAGGCTGTGGGTGTGTGTTTGTGTTTTGTTTCTGTTGTTTTGCACAGTACTGGGGATCAAAACCAGCGTTTCTGTCTGGGCAAGTAGTGTACCACTAAGGAACATTCCCCAGTCCACTAGTATTTTGAGAATGAGTGGAGAAGGGATTTATGGTACACAGAAGGCCATGGTTAATATGTAGAATGAATCTCTGAAGACTAAAAACTTGCATAATTCAAAACATCCTGACAAAAGCTAGTGGTTTTTTTTTTTCCTTACTAAATAAATACAATAGGAAAGCTTAGTTTACAATTTACTGAAACAGGCTTTGATATTAAGCCATTCTTGGTAAGTCCTTCTCAGGACAACTCTGTACTTATGTGAATTTTGTAATTTTATAATTTAGTTCAAACTTACATCTAATTAAAAGTGGTAGAGTGCTTGCCTAGCATGCATGAGGCACTGAGTTCCGATCCTCAGCACCACATAAAAATAAGTAAATGTATTGTGCCTGACTACAACTAAAAATATACATATATTTAATTTTTTAAATAAAACAAAGGTGTTTCGTTCATCTAAAAAAAATTTTTTTTTTAAGTTGCATAAAGTGTGCCACATATGACTTCTTTCACTGCAAATTTTAGATTCTCACTTGAGAATTCCCTGTCCTTTTTCTGATGACTTCCAGACAAGAGGCCAGGGAAAGATGACTCAACTGAGATCTGGTCAGAACCAATGAAGATTAAATTATATTAGTCTCTGTAATGGTGAGAGTAGTCAGTGTTGCTGAGCCTGAGATAATTTAACTAATTACAGGAACTTAGTGGTAAATTCACCAATCACTGGGGCTTCGAAATTTATTTGGGTCTCGTAGTTTTCTATGAAATGCAGAGATTATAATTATTGATCTTAAGCTTCCTTCTAATATAATCCACTTGGCATAGTGGCTGGAACATGGTAAATGTTTCATCAGTGTTGCTCTCAGGATGAACATCTATCTCAGATAAGGAAACCACCTTGTTAACTCTTTTCCCTGCTACATTATGAAAAATTGAACGATTTTGTTTTCTCTAAGCTTTCAAGTTGATAGCTTTTTTCTGAGTCTTTTTAAGTTTTGAAATCTGATTTTCATATTAGGTATTAGATAAAAATTATTCTTAAGTGACCTTCTTCCCACCACTCTGCTGAAACAGCAAGTATGTGTAGAGAAGAATACAATTTTAGCAGGAGAGTTAACCAAGGTAAAACTTTAATTCCAATCTTCAGCCTAGAGGGAAAAAAAAAAGGTAAGAAAAAAATTTTCATTTGTCTAAGGGACATTTATTTCATGTTGTTTGTTTATGACTGTGGGGATGTGTTTTGGAGGGAAAGAGGCATAATTTGAGAAATCATTCTGGATTAATATATGCAAATCTTTTTTAGAGTAGAGTTTTAAAGATTTTAAAAGCAAAGGAAATAAATAAACAAAAACTATGAATATTTTTCCTGACATAAGAAAATAATATATGAATTATAAGCATTGACTGAGTCATTTAGATTGAGCTGATAGATGGAAATATAGACCTTTACAACATAGAGACATCAAAGTAAATATATTTGAAGACTCTTCCTGGCAATATGGAAGGATGATGTATTCCTAAAAATTTGGGCATGATGTTTAATGTTTAAATGTATAATGTTTAGTAAAAAGTTCAGGCTCTTGAGAAACTAGCTGGTATACAGCCTGGCTCTTCTCTCTCAATTGTATGACAGAGCATGTTTCTTAGTCTGTGTTTCCTCAACTTAAAATTGGGAGCAATAGTAGTGCTTACTGCCCAATGTTTGGGGAAGGATAAATGAGTAATTATATATGACAATGCTAGTATTTGACAGTTAATAAGCATTTCAGTAGTGGTAGTTGAGATTGGCAGTAAGGAAGTTTTACTGAACTCTATGCAAGTTTCTCATCTCTAACACACAAGTGAATATGACTACTAATTCAAGAAAATGCACCGAAGATGTCACAATCTTCCCATCTGTTATGGTTTGGACATGAGGAGTCCCCCAGAAAGCTCCCATGTTAATGCAGGAATATTCAGAGGTGAAATGGTTAGGCTGTGAGAGCTGTGACCTAATCGGTCCATCCTACTGACTGGGTGGACTATAGGCAGGGTGGGTCGTGGCTGGAGGAGGTAGGTCACTGGGAGCATGCCTTGGAAGGGTTGCTCTTCCCTCTGGCCCCTTTCCCTTGCTCTCTCTGCTTCCTTACATGAGGTGGACAGCACTCCACCACTTCTTTCTGCCGTGATGTTCTGCCTCACCGTGGGTCCAGAGAAATTGGCTTGGTTGACGATGGACTAAACCTCTGAAACCATTAGCCAAAATAAATTTTTGCTCCTCTAAGTTGTTCTTGTCAGGTATTTTGGTTACAGTGATGAAAAGATGACTAATACACCATTTTTAACACACCATCTTTCACTCCAAATTCCTAGAAATGGTAGAAAACTGACATAAATGATGGCAGATGGTATTCAAGTGAAGAGTACTGCAGAAGATATGAGTGGACCAAGGAATGATCCGCACTATTTGGAACAAACATACCAGGAACAAGAGTTGGTCTTGGGACAACTGATAGGACGACCGTCTGAAGAACAACAGGTAAGGTTTATCATGTCTATCCCCTCCTATCCTGGGGATTATAATAAGCCACAGAAGTGTTTGGTTCCATCAGTGAGTGTGGTCAAACTTGGTTCAGAGAGACAGAAGAATGCATCAGGTTACTGGGAGTTATCATCATGAAGAGACTTGCTTTTGGAAACTTACAATATTATGTGCCATCCTTTACACACATGTACATTTCAGCACAAGAATCCCCCCATACAAAGATGTGCACATAACCAAGAGTCATCATAAATTTTAAGAGAAATATCCTCTCACCCTCAGTTGAAGAAAAGCAGAAGTTTTTTTCGCATCATAAACCCGCCTCTAATAAAAGAGAACTTTGAAGGAATATAGCTCTACTGTCCAAATAAAATATAGTCTAAATAAAATTGAGCTAACATGGATCTGAATTATGTTATTAAATCAGAGACATTAAAGAGTAAAACTCAGTTAACAAAGAGAGCTCAAAATAAGTGTATTTAATACCCTCAGATATAGGAGAAGATAAAAATAAGAAAAATTAACTAAAGATCTTAGAAATCTAAAATTTGGTTATTAAAAAAAAAAACTTAGAGCCAAATCCATAATTGAACTCCATATCTACACTCCTCCATAGATGAGGAAAAAAATTAAAGATCAAGTCAGAAATTGTACCCTCATAAAAAGTTACAAAGATGAAAAATATAAAGGAAAAGTTAATTGACATGAAAAAATAATTCCAGATACCCCCAAATTCATCCATTAGAATAATAAATTTCATAAGTAAGGAATTGAGAAGACTTAAGAAATAAAATACAGATATACTAAGTAAGATTTGGTGATTGTAGACGGCACAACTTCAGAATACCAATTAAATTATAATCTTTGCCAATGGTGTCCCCTACCATTTCCTTGACAACCAAAGTCAAGGAAATAAGGGAAGAAAAGGAGGATATTTCTCAGGATCTAAATTCATAGACATACATCTTCCTCATTAAATTCTGAGGACAAAAGTATAAAATGAAAATGAACCTTACTTAGATACATGGTAATAAAATTTCAGAACAAAGGGCTGGGGATGTGGCTCAAGCGGTAGCGCGCTCGCCTGGCATGCGTGCAGCTCGGTTCGATCCTCAGCACCACATACCAACAAAGATGTTGTGTCCGCCGAGAACTAAAAAAAATAAATATTAAAAAATTCTCTGTCTATCTCTCTCTCTCCTCTCTCACTCTCTTTAAAAAAAAAAATTTCAGAACAAAAAGTTAAAAGAGAAAGGTCTAAAGACATCAGGTATATTTGGGCAGTACTGGATATAAGACAATGAAGCATTACCTTTTTAAAAAAAAAGGGGGGAAAGAATTTTGAAACAAGTTTTATATCTAGTCAACTATTGTTTTGGTATGAGAGACATTTCAGACCATCTTTGAGAGAATTACTAGAATTGTTGTCTGATAAGGTTTTTTGTTTGTTTGTTTGTTTGCATCATGGGGGATTCAACTCAGGATCTTATTCATGTGAAGCAAGCACTCTACCACTGAGCCACATCTCTACCCCTCCAGTGAGAATATTTAAAAGATTCCAAGAAATGATGTATACTAGAATCAAAGGTGACCATGTACCTTACAAAACATATTGCTATTAGATTCCTTAAGAAATTAAGAAAACCTGGTATTTAAATTCCAGATGACATTAACATGGGTGGGAAGTGCAGGGGAAAACAAGAGTGAAAAGAAAAAAAGCAAGCAAAGTAAGAAGGATAGAGACATTATTACTATGGAAGTTAAAAAAATGTAGATTATATAGATCTACATATATATGGCAATAGAAGAAAGTTATAATCATAAAAATTGTAATCCATTAAGGATTACATGATCATGAATTTTTTGCTTTTTTAAAAAATTTTTCAACCTTTTTTTAAAAATTTTTTTTAAACCTTTTTAATGGACATAGTACTTTATTTTATTTATTTATTTTTATGTGGTACTGAGGATAGAACCCAGTGCTTCATATGTGTGAGGCAAGTGCTCTGCCACTGAACCACAACCCCAGCCTGAATTGTTTGCTTTTTAACACATGTACACACACACATCTACTCACACAATGTGCATACAAGGACTTTATTATTCTATTTGGAGATAGGGTCTGGCTAAGTTGCTTAGGGTCTCGCTAATTTTCCAAGGCTGACCTCAAATTTGTACTCCTGCCTGAGCCTCCAGAGTAGAAGGGATTACAGGTGTGCACTACTATCCTGGCTACAAGGATTTTTGGTTTTCGTGTGTGTGTGTGTGTGTGTGTGTGTGTGTGTGTGTGTGTGTGTGTGTTGGTACTGGGGATTGAACCTCAGGAGCACTCCACCGCTGAGCCACATCCCCAGCCCTATTTTGTATTTTATTTTAGAGACAGGGTTTCACTAAGTTGCTTAGTGTCTTGCTTTTGCTGAGGCTGGCTTTGAACACAAGATCCTCTTGCTTCAGCCTCCAGAACCGAGCCTCTGGGATTACAAGTGTGCATCACCATGCCCGGCCTACAAGGATTTTTTAGGTCAACAATCACAGTAATTAATTTTAATACAGTCCTCAGGAATTGACAGATAAACACGGTCAATGAGATTAACCATAATTATACATACTATGTAATTTTGTTTTAAAAATGGGAAAGTTACATTATTTTCAAATTCCAGGGTATAAAAACAAAAATTGACCATGAGCAAGAGGGCAAATTAAATCTCAATGCATTTTGAAAATCTGAAACCATACCAGGGTATGTATTCGCTGATTATAAAGCAATAAAACAACTAAGTATATTCTCCCGAATCTATACTCTTAAAAGAAAGCATATAGGTTAAGAGGATTTCAAAAAATAGATATTTTTTATAAGTAACAATCTATATGATCAGAAGAAATTAATAGTTTTGGAATGCATCTAAGAGAAAATAAGAACTATTTAAAATGGATTAAAGGCTGAGGCCAGAGGATTGAGGGTTCAAAGCCAGCCTCAGCAACTTAGCCTTGCCCTAAGCAACATAGCAAGA